TTGCATTCAGGGCCCATGTGGGTAAGCCGGGAGAGTCTCCCCATCTCAGGCTCTTTACCTTAATCACATCTGCACAGCTCTTGTTTCTATGTAAGCTAACAATCACAGGTCCCAGGGACTAGAATTGTAGATGTCTCTGGGGAGCCATGTTTCAGCCAACCACAACATGGATATTAGAAATTCAGTTAATCCCAGAAATTTCACTGTGTCGCCCTTTATAATGAGATCTTCTTGCTTTCAGCATCGTTTCTGTCCCAGCTTCAGCACCAGTGCAGGGGATGGCCCTGAGTAAAACGCCCTCCAAACTGACAGCCAGATGGGAAAAGAGGCAGTGTTCCAAGAATGCAAGTCAAGCAGGTGGTCATTCCTCCACTGATGGTCAGGGAACAGGCTTGGCTGTGGCCAGTGACTGGTCAGGCCAGTGAGGTCTACCTATGGCTTGCCCCCGTGTAACAGGGTGTAACCATGGGCCTTGGCTTCCAGCAGAGAGGATGAGACACACAGACAGGAGACGTGAAGTCATCATTCAAGGGATAAACGATGAAGCCAAAGGGAGTCGGTGATCAGGAAGGAAGCTCAGCGACCTGATGTAAGGACCAGGAAGGAGGGACTCGAAGGGTTAAGAAAGTTTTATAGCGAAAGTAGCTGCTTGGGGAAGATTTCAAGGATGTTAGGAGATGAGAGAAAACAGGAAATGAAAAGCCCTGCAGGCTGCTTGGGAACCGGAGGCCTGCCCCTCGCCTCCCTCCTTCCGTCCCCAAGGAATAAAGTGCAGGGAACTGCAGGCGTCATGTGAAACCATCCAGACCTCAGTATGCTGAGCCCTGTTTTAATTCCATTAAATAAGTTCCCCCTGAAAGGCCTCTGCTGAGACAAGTGGGTCTGCCTGGACTTGATGACATGGCCGTGGGTGGGCCTGGTGTAGCTCAAGGGAAATGAGTTCCAGGACCTACCTGAGACTGCTTGTTTTGCCTTTTTGTTTTTGTCTCAGATAAAAAGCACATGCTTTTTTATTCTAGAGGGTGGTTTTGAGAGACCCTTACTCTCTCTGCTCTCTCTGTTTGTTTCCTCATGCTGTCCTAACAAATTTCCCCAAACTGGGTGGCTTAAAACAACAGAAATGTGTTGTCCCACAGTCTGGAGACTAAGTGTCTGAAATCAAGGGGTCAGCAGAGTTGGTCCCTGCTGGAAGCTCTGAGGGAGAACCTGTCCAGCCTCTGTCCCAGCTTCCGGTGGTTGCCGGCAGTCCTTGGCATTCTTTGGCTTGTAGACACATCACTTCAGTCTCTGCCTTGGTGGTTATGCGGCAGTTCTCCCTGGATGTCTCTGTGTCTGTGTGTAAACTTCCTTCTTATAAGGACATCAATCAGTGGATTATGACCCTGTCTAATCCAGCATGGCCTCATCTTAATTTGATCACATCTCTAAAGATCCTATTTCCAAGTAGGGTCACATCCTTGGTACCCAGGGTTAGGATTTCACATCTCCTTTTGGAGGACAGAATTTAACCCGCAGCACTCTCCAAGGTGGGATTCTAATCCAAGTGAAGCTACTCATTAGCTTGTGAGGCATGGCTGGGGAAGTTATGGGCCTGGAGAGAAGATGCAGCTGCGTGCTCGGGGAAGGTGTGACAAGTTTATGGAGAGATGGGATCCCGGGATGGTGGAAATGGGAGAGCACAGTGGGCCATGGCAAAGACCTGCAGACATAACCCATCAGGTGCCCCATAGGACCAAAGACACATAATACGGCTTCAGTACCTCCTTTCAACAGTGTTTCTACTGTGTGTTCTGGTCATCTGCTCTTTAAATTAAATACATTTATACCAAGTGCCAACATAAAAGGGCATAAACCCTTCTTAGTTCCCAGTTCCCTTAGCACCTGGGAACTAAGATGGAACAAGATAAGATATTCAGCCAAGAGATATGAAATCATCATTCCAGAACATATATGATAAAGTCTCCAGATTAGAATGACTGAAAAGGATACATGGACATACAGATAGACCTCTATCTCCATATATATTTAATAAGGTTCACACGTTCACTGAATAAATTCACCATCCTATATTGGAGTCCAATATCAAAAACATAGCAGGGAAAACAAGTCAATGTGGGGGTGGAGAACCAAAAGAGGTGATGGAACAAAAGGGCAGGAAAAACAGTAAGAAACAGATGATCAGGCAGAGAAAGGGGAGGAGAGAGAAGACTGATCCCCGTCGAGGAAGGACCGTCCCTGAATTAGAAACAGATGAGTTTTAAGGAGGATGGCAGTTAATAACCACAGTGGTCAAGGGGAAAGAAAATGGAAGAAAAAAATGATTAGAAGGGAGGATGCCAGAGTCTTTTAGGCCACAACTTTTTATATGTGGTAAGAGATTGAAGGCAGATTTCTGTGTCTTATGGAGTATAAAAATAAAATTAAAAAAAAAATCAGAAGCAGAGGGGTCAGAACACTGGCCTGAGGACTTCAGGAGTAAAAAGAGGGATAAAATCATACAGTGATCTAAGAGAGTGGCAAAATTACGGCACACAAAGAGTGTTTGATGGATTTTGTTCCCTTTGAGATGGTGAAGGTGAGAGTGAGTGGAGAAGGGTGGTGGGAAGGAGGAACGGGACCTTCATTTTAGAGTTGTGTTACCATATCCTTCTGTCCCGTATACTCCGCACCCTTTGATCCGCCCTCCCACCACCAGAAGGAGTGTCTGTCTCAGGCTCTAAGATCAGCCTCTCTCCCAGTCCAGAGCAGCAGCAACTCCAAATCCCCTCTGCAAAAACAAACGTGTCTGCCTGAATTTCAAGACCCCTCTCTCCACATTATCCCTCAGACCCCACCCAGTATCCGAAGGTCTACTACTGTCACCCCTGTGCTTTGGGTGGGGACAGTTGTCGTAAGACATTATTATGCAATATTTAATATACTGAAAAGACATAAAGAAAAAAATAAGAAACACCTATGCTTCTATCACCCAGCTTAAAAAAAACAGACCCATCATTTGAGATCTGATGGATCCTCAGTTACATCCCCACCCTCACCACCCCCACTGCAAGGCCGCCTCTAGCGGAATTTGGAGGTTACCGTTCTCATACACTTCTTTTCATTTGTACTACATACAAGTCTCCCAAAGCAACATGGTGCCTTAATTTACATTTTTTAAACTTTAGATACTATATATATTCTTCTACAACTTTTTTCCTTGATGTTATTTCTGCATATTCCCTCCATACTGATACATGTATCTCCGCTTCATTCCTTTTTTTTTTTTTTTTTTTCTGCTGATTATCTTTCTGGCTTGATCTCTCTGGTTGTGGTTTATTTTAGGCAGTGATTGAAAATGCAGGCTCGGGAATCAGATGTTCTGGGCTCAAATACTATCTCCACCAGTTATTTCAGCAAGATACTTTACATCTCTGTGGTTCAGTTTTCTCATTTATAAAATAGAGATGATAATAACACCCTCCCCACAGGGGGACCATTAGGACTAAATAGATGACTTTTGCACAGGACTGGGAACAGAGCCTGCCATGTAAAAGTACTCCCTAAATATTGACTCTTATTATTTTCCCATCCACATGACTGTCAGGGAAACCATGCTGAGAGCAAAGATCGGAACCCCGCTCTGCGCTCAAAAATCTCAGGCAAAATGTCAAAGCAATGATGTCAAGTGTTCTCTGAGTGTTACAATGAAAATCAGCTAAAACAACCACAAATAATAACATTAAATTAAGTAACACTCATGTATCCCATTTATACACATCATTCAATTCTTTCTTGGAGCATTCAACTTAAAGAAATTTGTTTAACTAAAAAAATACAAGATTTTCAATTTTCAGGCCCCTAAATATGGAACATCATTGGTGCGTGGCTAGAGTAACTTGTAAGGCAAAGAAAGCGTGAACAAGGCTGTGACTAATGATGACAATACGTACCACCACCTTGTCACCAGAAATCCAAGCCAGTCATCGCACCTTCTGGATTTTCTTGGCCAGCTTATTTGGCCTGGATTTGTCAGAATGTTCTCTGTCAATATCACCAAGTGTTGCAGCAAAACATAATCAATTCCAAAATAAGAGTTGAAGATGGTTATTGAACTCATTGAGTTCAAATATTGGGACATATAATCCACTGTAGAGTGGCACTTGCTTCAAATCGCGTGCTATTTCGAATTACCCAATGTTAGATCGAAAGTTTTGTTTATCTTTGTAATGCAGATTATGCTACTAAGGGTTTTCCAAGACAAAATAAATTAGTCATGTGCTCAAAATGGAAATGCAAATTGCTGTAATAGTTTTCCTGGCTTTGAAAAGCATGAGTTTTTACATTTTTCCTTGTGAGCGGTTCACATCAGCATCAACAATGAATCATTCTCCTGGAGAGGTCATCCCACGGAAAACGGATCTGATCTCCTGCCTGTTTCTGGCAAGAAGGTGTATGTCCCTTTGGTTGTGAAAGTAACTGGGGAAACTAATAAAAAATAAATTATGGCAGCCTGACATCCTCCCGTATCACATGCAAAGAGGCCTGGCCTACTAACTTCCAACTTGAGCCAGTGCACTCACCAAAATACTCCTCAGAGTTTACTATGAGGCAAATAATAGTTTAAGACTTGTTTCCTGAATAACGAAGCAATTCTTTATCAAAGGCAGACTAAATGTCTAGAAAAGGAAATAAACCAAGCCGTCCCATGTGAAATGGGACAGTGAAATGTTACCAATTTCAATAATAGTAAACAGCATCATACAATTTACCATCTTCCTCTTATTAAGAGTTGGTCCCATGAGATTCCTTCTGGCTGGAATTAATACCACCTCCTCTATCGCCTTCTGCAACAAAAATTTCTCCTCCCTCAATTCCTGGCACAATTTGTAAGTTGAGGCTTGTCTTCTCTTTCCTATTTTGTTCTGTGTTTTTAATTCTCCAGAGTTTTTCTAAAGAGCTCCCAGCACAAATCTGACTGCCCTGTGTTCACCTATCCAAAGGGCCAGGAAAAACCTACTTACTTCTTAGAGCGTATTCTTTGGGCTCCACTGAATTCAGGTCAGAAAGGAATTCATCAGTGTCCTGCATGCACTTGAGAGAAATGTTTCTTGCAGGAAAAACAAAAGGTAATTGAAACTGAAAAGACAGCAGACAAAACAGTATAGTCGGGACCATCATTGGTCAGGACCTTAACCTGTCAGGATAAAACTCGCCTCTTAGACAAAGAGCCTTATATTTATGAAACACTAGTCTATAGCGTGTTGGGGGAAATGTGACATTCTCGCCCCTTAACATGCAGAGACAAGCTGTGTCTCCTCAGCCACCTGCAAAGCGGCCAAGCTGAACAAACCATGGAAACCGATTTGTAGACAACTTGTTATTGTTGAGTAAAACCGTGCTGTGGATGTGGGGGCCGCTGACCACCTGGCTTCCTTTAGTTATGCAGATTAACATTTCCAGCGAACACGGGGAAGGCTAGATTTTCTCCAGTTAGATGTCTTGAGTATATCTCTGAGTTTAAATAAATAATATATATATATATATATATATATATATATATATATATATATATACCGAGGATGTTAAATGGCAATATTTGGTTTTTGTCGGAGAATGATCGTGATCCAACCTATAGAACGTTCAGATGAATGATAAGCAAAGAAAGGCTTCTGCGTCATCATCTGGGTATTTTATGCATCTGTTAATATGTTTGCCGGACTTGAAAGCCACATGTGGGAGTGACGAACTCCTCCGCGGAAAGAGCTGGTATTGCGGTAGGACAAGTAATCACAGGCATCCTCATGTGAGGGCTTAGGACAAATCCTGGGAAGCCAATGATGCTGACAGAAGACCATGGTTACTGCGTTCACCTACTTTAAAAAAAAAAAAGCAACATAGAATGTGTGGATCTGGATTTCTCATGGTGTAAATATTTTCTTTCCAGAAAGTCCTTGAAAAATAACTTCTCTAATTCCATTTGAAATGTGATGCTGATTTTGTTTACACTGCCGGAAAACATCCCAGCTTGTGGGATGTTTTCCGGTTGAACTTCCTGGCTTTACAGTGGCCTCTAGCCTCCCTTTGTCTGGGTGTGTTGGGGCTGCAGTCACCAAATACCCTAGACTAGGTGGTTTACTAACAACAGAAATTTGGGGCTCACAGTTCTGGAGGCTCAGGAGCCCAAGTGCCCGCACAGTCCATGTTCTGGTGAAGGCACCCCTCCATGTCTCAGCCGGCGCCTTCTGTGTCCTTAGGGAATGGAAGAGGTGAGGGCCTCTGTAGGCCTCTTTTATAAGGGCACGAATCCCATTCAGGAGGAGTCCACCCTCAAGACTTAATCACTTCCCCAAGGCCCCACTGACTAATACTGTCATCTTTGTGGGTTAGGATTTCAACATAGGGATTTTTAGGGAGGTGCAAACATTCAGACCAGAGCACCTTTCCTTGTGCACATTCTGCTGTCTCTCCCTTCTGTTCTTTTGCTCATTCTGTGCCTTTTGTCCCAGTGTCCTTCTCCCAGCCCACCTTCTCCTGGGCATGACTGGCCTACTTATTCTTCTAAGTCTACTCTTCCAGGAAGCCCTCCTGGGTTTCCCCGTGGGTCAGGATAGGTGTTTGTTCTTTGTGCTCCCTACTTGCCTGTTACATTCTCTTTATCTCCTCATATTGAATGTGTCTCTTTCTGTTTCCCTCCTACAGCCTGGAAGCTCTGTAAGGGTAGGCATTGTGCCCTTTTTATCTTTTTGTGCTTTTTTGTGCTGTAATAGCTGAGAGCCAAACTGACACTTCCTGTGTGACCCAGGGCAATCTCACCGCCTCAATTACTTTATCTGGAAAATTAGGAGAACAAGCAGTCTTTCCCTCTTGGAATTGTTGTGAGATTTAAATAACATATTTAAAGTACTCAGAGAGGGTCTAACACCACAGATACTCCAGACCATTCGCTGCTATTATCTTGATATGCCAAATGCCTGCTAGGCACCTGGCAGATGATAACATATATACCAGACACCCAGATAATGCATATGCGAGGGGGCCTTGCAGTGTCGAACGTGCATAGGTCCTTAGTAAACAATAGCTCTTGTGGCGATTTATCATTATTCTTTGTTATTGCTATTGCTCTAGAGAAAAACTTCAGGCACACAAGCTGAAGTAGTTCCAAGAGCTACTAGGTGAATAGTTCCTTGAAAAAAAGCCAGATCATTAGATCCAAGTTACAAAGGAATAGTTTTGAAACAATAAAGAGCTTTCTAGTCAAAATTAGCCAAAGACAACCTGAACTCTTTCCAATAGCATAGAGATCTCCAACCTTGGAGGTGTTCCAATCGTGGCTGAGCACAGGATGAGAGCATTAAAGAAGAGTTTCAAGGGTGAGGGCATAGCTCAGTGGTAGACTGTGTGCCTAGCATGCATGAGGTCCTGGGTTCAATCTCCAGTACCTCCATTAAAAAAAAAAGATGAATGAATAAACCTAATCACCACCCCCCTAAAAAAGATTCATCATCAAATAGTCTTCATGAAAATGACCTCTAAGTTCTTCTCTGACTTTGGAACCATCTGAGTCTACGTTCAAAATTATTTTCTACCATTAATGTGTTGGTTGTTACTATGCACCTGGGAAAATGTTCTTAAATTGAAGTAGAAAGCAACATTTCAGCACAAAAATGAAATCCAATCTTACTACATAGACAAAGCAACAACTAACTTGGACTGAAAAAGAGACCTAATTTGGCACCAGAAACCAGGGTTGAAGCTGGTTCAATTTCCCCGTCTGTAAATTTATAAAAGCACAGATCCAGTCTCCCTCACCCAGGTGTCTCCTAGCGCTATTACATTAGCCCTCCTGAGTGATAAAGCAGCATTAGTTAGCATTAGCGCTCTCAACTCCACATGAACCGCCCATGCTTAACTCTCTTTCAACGTTAAAAAAAAGGGTGAAGAAGGGGGAAGATTGAAAATACTGGAGGTTTAGGAAATTTGAACATTTAAGGATGATTAAACAGAAAAAAAAATCTCTGAAACCTGGATTTATTTCCAAGTCAGTTGTTGATATTGTGTATCATTGAAAATACAAAATTGCTTTTAGAATTCAGTGTTAAATAAGCCATCTTTTGTTAGGGGGGAAATATAATGACTGGAACACATATCCCCATTTTAATCATTAGTAATAAAAACCACCTAAATGATTCTAAAACTCCACCTGAATAAAAAGGGAAACGAGGATCTTATGTTTCAAGACCCTTGTGATGTTTGTCCCAACTCTTAAGGAAGAAAATTATGCCTAATCAAGGTTCAAGGAGACTCAGGTGTTTCAGGCAGACATTTTAAGCACCTGTTTTATGCAAGGCACTGCACTGGGCATAAAAAGAGGACATGAAAATAAATAACGCCTTCCTCTCCTGAAGGCGAAGCTTCATCACTTCCTGAGGCAGCGGCAATTGCTGACTGATGCTGTTAGTTTATTCGAGTATCTAGCTCTACGGAAAAGGAAGGTGCGTTAGGCCTCTCATCACTGGGCAATGGACTTGAGAAGACAAGGATTTGTCTTTGCTGACAGGAATAAGGATCCACCTGCTGGGGAAATCGTAACTAATGTTTGCTGCACTCAGGCTGCAATATGCAAAATGCCTCTTGGGATGAGAGGAAATGGTGAAGGCAGATCAGAAAGCAGGCAGAGCTGGTGGAACAGCTTGGGACGTTTCATGCAGAGGGTGGCAGAGAGGGAACAAATAAGGATGACGTGTCAGGAGGGATAAGTGCTGGGGAGAAAAATAATGCAGGGTAAAGACCCGGAGAGTGGCGAAGTGGGAGTGTGCTGTTGGTGGGTTTGGGCACTCTGAGTGAGGTGACCTGGAAATCTCTCCAAGCAGGTGACTTCGGAGCCAAAATGAGAGGTGGCAAGGCCCTCGGGAAGAGCATTCCAGGCAGAGGGAACAGCAGGTGTCAGGTCCTATGAAGGGAATGCGAGTATTAAAAGCACCATCAGGACGAGGGAGGAGGGCGTGGGAAGGTGACATAGGAGATGAGGTTGGTAACGTGATGGGGTCTCATGGCTGTTGAAAGGCACACACTTCCGTTTATCTTGGTAAGTCTCTTCTAAAATAATTGATATTGTCGCATTGCTTGGATGGTGTCTCATTCAGAGGGAAGGGAAAACATAAGCTTCAAATGTCCCACCATGCTGTGGGCATGTCCTGGGTCCAAGATGGTTCAGTGGTTCCTGGAAGGCAGGCTGGTTCCCCACTGGGCAGAGATGCTGAGGAATGTCTACATTCTTTCCTTCCAGATCTTGACTCTTCCCTTTCCTTGACCAACAAACACCACGCACAGCGTAGTGCCCCCTCCACCATCACCATGACCACTGCCACCGTGCCACCAGCCTGAGTACATTTAAACTGTCCCTACTTCCTTGTATCACCCACTTGAGAGTCAAAGCAGGAGCATCATTTGAGCCAAGTATTGGTCATCCTATGTCAGGTTAGGCTGCCAGGGGTCAGGGAGAGTGACCTGTTTTCAGCAGTAGGAGGCAAGATCCATCTCTCTGAGATTCACACAGTGGCAGGTCTCCAACCCCAGAAGGGGATCAGATGCTGAACTGACAAAGTCAAGATAAGCATCCGTTACCCCTACTTTGAGGCGTGTCTTCTACCCTTTCTAAGACAGGGTCGTTCCCTTGGACACATGCAGCTCTGCTTTCTCTTGACCCAAATCATCCTCGCACCATCCTCTGCAGTCAGTAGATCTATGCCTGTCCTGTTCTTTTTCAAAAAATAGATGACGTTTATTCTCCAGAAATAACTGATCCAATTAAACTTGCCTTGGCCTAAAGGTCAGACAATTACTCTTGGGCTAAACCCACACTTCCTGGAACTCAGTTGGAGGTGTGATAGAGTGAACTGTAATTACAGAGCTCCCTGAGATAAAAATATCTTCTTGCAAAGGATTGTGTTTAGAATTAGGAACAGACTTGCCATGATAGTATAATTTACAATCACAACTGTAAGAAAAGCTCAAGGATAGCAGCTTACAATAAATTAGCAAAGCCAATTAAATCATCAGTTCCTTTAAATACTGTGAAACATTATAAATAGTGTTGCTTTATAAGTCAAAACTAGCCTCATGAACTTAATTTGGAAACGAGCAGAGAATGTTTTCTGGGAAATGCTATTCTGTTT